GGAATGCGTGGACCAAGGGAGAGACAACTAGGATGGCAGACAGGAGAGCCCGCTATAACGTGAGGAAATATGGGTTTTCTGTGCCAAAGTTTTCATTTGACTCGGCTGGGTCAAAGCTGGGTCGCTGAGAACTTTCACCCACAGATTAAGACCTGAACGCCAGCGAGTCTGGGAGAAACCATAACATCTGAACACCTGCAGTGCCAGAAGATGTGTTCCCATGGAAAAGCTAGTCATAACATAACAAAGTCTTAAACTTCCTTTCCTTTATTTTAGGTTGTTAAATGATCAGTATTATCACTTTGCTCATTATAAATGTGTTTTAATCAAATGAATGATTATTATGCTTTGGGTAATCATAATAACTAATGAATCAATGCTTAATTAAATAATGTTTTGAGGATGTTTGGTAACGACCTTCACACACTCAAACACTCACTCAAACACTCACACACACACAAACTCTCACAGTAAATTCCAAAACACATTTGCTCTGACGCACACGTTTGCTTCGAGAAGAGAAAGGCTTTTGGTAAGTTTTCAGTTCATGATTCAGTTCGGTGTTTGACAACGAAAGAGGGAGGACTTGTGAACAACGCCAACGGGGAACGGGGCTGCGGCTCCTTTCTCCCCCACTCACGCTATTCCTGCCAAGCCAGACAGGAATAGCTGAATTGCAACCGCTAACGCAGACTCGTCCAGAGTCTTTGATTTTCTGAGTAATTTAAACTTAAGAAAGCGCATCTGCAAACGCTTCATCATCACGTGTACCGAGGTCATCTCTGGACCGGGTCGCAGCACACCTTCGTCTTCTCTGCCAGCCAAGGTGTGTCCTGGATGAAACATTCTCCTGGGACGTTCCGGATCTGAACGAGGGTCCTCGTACGGTGAGGCAGAACACAATAGATAGCGTTTGATGCATCTTTTCCAACGAAACCTAAGTTTATTCAAACCATCACTTTTCACTCAGACACCTGTTTCTTCCTGAAGCAAAATCAGACGCACACACGCACTCATCTCACCGCATTTCCAATTTTCACACATTCAACACAAGGTCTATTTGAGCAAGTTTACAATATCAACTGTTAAAGATTGTTCAACAAAGTTGCCAATGTTGATTGTTGTTTCCTATGCTTGTCATTTCAAAATTATTAGTTTAATTTGAAGAATTAAATCTTTTAACTTTCAAACTTGTCTCTTCATTGAACTGAAACACAGACCCACGGATATTATCGACAGTTTATCGATGAAAACAACCTTTGAGTCTTCTTAAAACTATAAAATTTGGTTATTAATTTATTAAAATTGATATCTCAAATTAATATGTAGAACGGTTCCTCTTTCATAAAAGAGCCTAAACCATTACTCTACATAATTGGCAGAGCCTTCCCAGGTTCACTACACCGCTAAGAGGCAGAGACGCACCCCGGATGGTGTCTTGAGGACACATGTGCCTGAACCCCCCCGCCGGAACAGAGGAGCACCCGGAGCGCAGTCCTGGAGGATGGACGGCGGCCGAGTGCGGAGGAGCGTGGGTGTCCCTCTCTCCACACATGTGCGGCGCGCGTACAGGTGCCACTGAGTCCGCTTGGGGTCTCGGACCGAGGAGGGGGTTCACCAGCAGCACGGAGGGCAGCAGCAGCAGCAGAGGGAGATCTGCGGCCGGAGAAGCCAGGGCACAGAGCGCAACACGGCAGGCAGGCAGAGTTACTCTGCCTCCGCTTCTTAGTATCGAGCAGTGCCTGGCAGTGTTTGGAGTTGCTGTGGCTCTGTGTGTGGTCTGGTGCCGAGGACCTGTTATTGCCAGAATTTTGTGTGCCCACGGTGGCCGGGCGGAGGAGTAGACCCGCCGTGACGTTATCCTGTGGCTCCGTGAGGACGATGACGCCGGCCTTGGAGGTTTCCTGGTCGAGAGCTCAGCAGGGCCGGACTGGACCACCTTGTCCCTTGAGGCCCTGCGCACACTTGATTGAACGCTTTTTTTTTTCCTTGGCGTCATTATCAGGGTTTTGTAATAAATTTCCCTTTTTAATTTGCTTTGGGTGTCGCACTGCTTGCCTTGTTTTAGAACCTTTAAGAACCTATTTAATCTCCTTTTAATATTAGTGGCACCATGCACCTCGATCATGTCACACACACACACACACACACACACACACACACACACACACACACACACACACACACACACACACACAGACACACACACACACACACACACACACACACACACACACACACACACACACACACACACACACACACACACACACACACAGTTTGATGGAGGGATTTTGATGCAATTATTGAGAACAGGATGTGCACTTTGATTGGATGAGATTTTTCCAGGATTGTACGTTTCTGTTACGTTAGATATCTTTCAGCGTGCTACCTGCCATCAAAGTGGTTAGCTGAACAGTGTAGCTGCTAACAATCACCGGAGGAAAAAAACACAGATCGCCATCTTTCTCCTTTTGGTCTGAGTTAGAGAACACACAGATCGTTTGTTGCGCATGCTCAACTGAAATAGCATTCCGGTGCTCGCACAGTTCATGTGATGTCATCACTCGAGTCACGTGACATGCCTTTGTTACACAATATACTCAACACTCCAACTCAAAGGCATGTCTAGTGATTCTCTATTGTACTAAATAACAAATGAGTAATACACATACGACGTAAATTTCAATAAAGCGCGTAAAAAAGAGAAGAACAGACTTAGCCTCCTCTACTTTTTCTCTTTTTTGTTTTTCTTTCTTCACCTTTTCGTTTGCATCTTCAGTACATCACGTCTTTTCAGTTCACATTATTTTCCAAACAAGTACTCTTTAAAAGTCTCAAACTTTGTTTTTGGTACTGGCTTTGTGAATACATCAGCAGCCATGTTTTCTGTAGAGCAATACTCGATGTTTATCATTCCGTTTGTATGCTGATCGTACAAAATGATATCTAATATCTATATGTTTGCTTCTGTGTCTGGATACTGGGTTTTTGGATAATGCCATTGCCCCCTGGTTTTCTCCGTATATTCTGATGGGTACATGTTTGTTACAACTATCTATCCCTTTAGGTAGCTGTACAAGGTATATACTCTCTTGAGTTGTGGCAGCTAATGCCATATACTCGGCTTCACGTGTTGATAGCGCAACTGTAGGTTGTTTTCTACTTTTCCATGATATAATCAGACCCTTTTCAAATAGACTAAAACAATATGTGGCAGTGTGAGCATCCTGTCAGAGTGTCCCGATTGATCATGCGCCCTGGCTACTTGGCGAAGGGGATGTCCCTTTGGCTGACTGGTTAGCGTGCGTGACTCTCACCAGGGAGTCTGGGAATCCCGCCCGGGCCCTCGTTTCTCCACCTTGCCACACATATCTTGTAGTACTTCTTCTGTTGTCTTTATCAGCTGCCCAGTCAGCATCACTGTATCCTTCAAGTTTTAAGCTTTTCTCACTTTTGTTAAAATGTAATTCTTGATTAATACTACCCTTTAAGTACAACAGGTTGAGCGGGTTGTCCAGTAATCGGAAGGTTGCAGGTTCGATCCCGGCTCCGGACAGAGAATTCTGCTGTTGTGTCCTTGGGCGAGACACTTAACCCACCTTGCCTGCTGGTGGTGGTGAGAGGGACCGGTGGCGCCCATTCTTGGCAGCCTCGCCTCTGTCAGTGCGCCCCAGGGCAGCTGTGGCTACATTGTAGCTCATCACCATCAGTGTGTGAATGTGTGTGTGAATGGATGAATGATACACTGAAGTGTAAAGCGCTTTGGACTCCTTACTCTGAGAGGTGCTATACAAGTGCGGGTCATTTATCATTTATCATTAAGTACCGTATTTTCCGGACTATAAGTCACACTTTTTTTCATAGTCTTGCTGGTCCTGCGACTCATATACCAAAGTGACTTATATGCCAAATTACGAATACCCCGCTGCTGCTGGCTGGCTGCGGCCCAGGAAGGAGCTTCCGTGCCCGCTGGGAGGGTTTGAAATAGGGATGAGCGAGTACACCATTATCTGTATCTGTTCAACCAACTAAATTATCTGTATCTGTACTCGGAATGGGCGTGGTATAACCCGGAAGTGGGCGTAGTTTAACCAGAAGTGGGTGTGGTTTACATCAATATATTATTTTAAGTCTGAAATTGATATGGAATGATCAGAAGGTAATATGTGTATTGTTTATTTTAGGGATGAGCCGGATACTTGTTTCAGACGAGTATCCGGTACGGATAAAGCATTTTTGACGAATATGAGCATGAAACGAGCAAACCTCGTAAATATCTGTAATCGTGCTGAAGAAAAATCCTCATTGGGTAACTGACTGTCTTCACGCTCTGTGATTGGCCAGTCACATAGAGCGCCCGCCCCTCCCTACACACAAAACTCTCTAGCCGGCCAGGAGCGCAGTCCGTCCGGCTCATCCACGCACACACACAGACAGTAACGGATCTCGCTGTGATTGCTTCACTGTTGCTCACGTTTCTTCAGTTTTCCCTAGGTTTTCTTCTGCTCGCCTCTTTTTCGGTTGAATATTTAAAGTTACTTTTTTCGTAACTTACATGGTGCATTTGACAAGACAGAGCTGACGTGCTGCATCAGTCACTCACTACCTCCGCTCGGGTCGGGTTTTTTATTTATTTATTTTTAAACTCCATCTCTCTCCCTCTCACCTTTTCTATCTTTCTCAGACACACACACCTTAAACAACATTGTTTGGTTTAACTTTGTGTGGGGCAAAATGCCAAGAACGTTAAGAAAAAAATCAGTTAAATCAAATTAAAATAAAAAAATATACATAAAGTTGTTTCTGGTTCTAGCATTTCATATTTCCTAGTTCCTACTGCATGAGTTCAGATGTATTAATCCATGCACTTAAATATTAATGTTCTGATTTTATTGAAACACTTGTTCTGTAATAGTTTCTTAACTATTGTGATAAAAATATTTAATCTCAATTCTGAGGCTGCTCTGCAAATAGTTTTCAAATAAACAATACACATATCAACTTCTGATCATTCCATATCAATTTCAGACTTAAAATAATATATTGATGTAAACCACACCCACTTCCGGGTTAAACCTCGCCCACTTCCGGGTTATGCCACGCCCATTCCGGATACAGATACAGACACAATAGAAGAGTCTCTGTGTGACATCATAAAGGAGGGTTTGAACCCAGAAGATTCCATTCATTAATGTGTGTTTTATTCATAATAATATTAATACTAATATTATTATTAATATAATAATAATTATTAATAATATTAATATTATTAATAATAACTACAATAATATTAATAACTATAACAAACACAATAGCTGAATCTGTGTGTGACATCATAAAGGAGGGTTTGAACTTGGTACATTCCGAGATTATAAAAGGCCCACGAGCAGCAGCTCCACTTCAGTCTTGTCAGAGCTCTTGCTGAGAACGCATCACTGTGTTTGGACACCCAAGTGAGATTGAAAAAACCCTTTTTTTCACTCCAATGACGAACAGAAAAAATATGTCGTGGTACGACATGTGGGTCAACCAAGTAGAAGTGGATTATGATTTAGTCATCGAGCAGGAATTTGTTGATTTTCAACGCCCAGGTAAGGCAGAACAACCCCTTACTTTCGCTGAATTGATGAACAGCAAAAACATCTGCTGGCACGACGTATGTGTCAACCCTGTTGAAATGGATTATGATTTAGTCATCGACTTTGGTTCTGATAGTGAGGACGAAAAGTCAGATCTGTCTAAAACTGAAGAGATGGAGTCTCAGGTGTCAGATCAAACATCCGTCTTTGGTGCTGAGAAAGAGTCTCTTCCTAATGAGACTCATTTATCTGCTGAACTGGAGATCTCTGAATCTCAGACAGTTGTCCCAAGACCTCAGACGGTTCAGCAGGAATTTGATGATTTTCAACGCCCAAGTAAGGCAGAACAACCCCTTACTTTCGCTGAATTGATGAACAGCAAAAACATCTGCTGGCACGACGTATGTGTCAACCCCGTTGAAATGGATTATGATTTAGTCATCGACTTTGGTTCTGATAGTGAGGACGAAAAGTCAGATCTGTCTAAAACTGAAGAGATGGCGTCTCAGGTGTCAGATCAAACATCCGTCTTTGGTGCTGAGAAAGAGTCTCTTCCTAATGAGACTCATTTATCTGCTGAACTGGAGATCTCTGAATCTCAGACAGTTGTCCCAAGACCTCAGACGGTTCAGCAGGAATTAGCTGATTTTAAAAGCAGCCAAACTGATGAACTTCTGAAACAAGTGGATCATTTGAAAGAAAAACTGCAGAATATAAATACTTGTTTCAATCAGGAGAAGGAGAACAGGATTGCTGCAGAGAACCAGTGTGAAAAACTGGAGGAACGACATTTGGACTTAGAAGCGATGTTAAGCAGAGAAAAAGATGAGAAAATCAATGCAGAAAAGAAGTTTCTTGACAAGCTGGAGAATTTAAAGGAGCAGCTTTCAGAAAAGAACATTTTCATCGAAAATCTGCAAAGAGATTTAGATCAAGAACGTTGGTTCAGACTCGTTAGTGTCCAGGAGCAGAAGAACGCCCAGCATAAAGTCACTGTTAACGAGAACTATAAGAAGGAATTGAACAATCTTAAGAAATGGAGTGGTGACCTCTTTGAGATGCTGGACAATGTTGAAACGGATATGAAATACAGAGAGAGTAAACTTCTGGAAGAGCAAAATGATTTTAAACATCAGCTCAAACAGAAGAATCTAATCTGTGAAGATTTAGAGAAACGTTTGAACAAAGAAAACGAGCTCCGCCTGACCTGTGAGGAAGAACTCAAAGAAACTAAAAATCGAATGAGTTCAATGAACGGAAAAATGTCCGTCTGTGAAGAACTTAGCAGCAGTCTGGACATGGAGACGCAGCTCAGAGTTAGCTATGAGGCTCAGCTGGACTCTAACAGGGCGATAGTCTGTGAGAATTCAGATCTTAAAGAGCAGATCAAAGATCTGACTCAGAGCAACTCAGAACTCAGACTGGTCGTGGAAAACCTGACCGCTGAGAACGCTGCTTCTCACCAGGAGTTGGCTGAACAGCAGGAGAGAGTCAAACATCAACTCCAAGATAAAACTGTCATCTGTGACCTTTTGAAACAAGTGGATCATTTGAAAGAAAAACTGCAGAACAGAAATACTTGTTTTAATCAGGAGAAGGAGAAGAGGACTGCTGCAGAGAACCAATGTGCGCTTTACAAGGAGCAAACTAAAGAAATGGAGAACGGTGTGGTTGAACAGCAACAAAAGCTGGTGACCTTAGAAAAGAAGTTACAGGAGCAGAAAAACGTGAATAAAGATTTACAAGAAATCTGCTCGGATCTAAAAGGTGAGACAGACGAGTCTCGTTTTTCTGGAGTCTCGAGAAACGATCTGATCGAGAACTTTGAAAAACTGGAGGAACAACATTTGGGCTTAGAAGCGATGTTAAGCAGAGAAAAAGATGAGAAAATCAATGCAGAAAAGAAGTTTCTTGACAAGCTGGAGAAATTAAAGCAGCAGCTTTCAGAAAAGAACGTTTTCATCGAAAATCTGCAAACAGATTTAGATCAAGAACGTCGGTTCAGACTCGTTAGTGTCCAGGAGCAGAAGAACGCCCAGCTTAAAGTCACTGTTAACGAGAACTATAAGAAGGAAATGAAAGATCTTAAGAAAAGGAACGGTGACCTCTCTGAGATGCTGGACAACGTTACAACGGATCTGAAGAACAGAGACATGAAACTTCTGGAAGAGCGAAATGATTTTAAACATCAGCTCAAACAGAAGAAGCTAATCTGCGAAGATTTAGAGAAACGTTTGAACAAAGAAAACGAGCTCCGCCTGACCTGTGAGGAAGAACTCAAAAAAACTAAAGATCAAATGAGTTCAACGAACGGAAATCTCAAGAAGGAGATCAAAGATCTGAAACAGAAGAACTTGGAGCTCAGTCAGACGCTGAGAAGTGGTCAGGCTGTAGAAACTAAATCAGACCAGATGTGTGAGGATCTGCAGAAGTTTAAACAGCTGCTCCATGAAAAAATGTCAGTCTGTGAAGAACTTAGCAGCAGTCTGGACATGGAGAAGCAGCTCAGAGTTAGCTACGAGGCTCAGCTGGACTCTAACAGGACGATAGTCTGTGAGAATTCAGATCTTAAAGAGCAGATCAAAGATCTGACTCAGAGCAACTCAGAACTCAGACTGGTCGTGGAAAACCTGACAGATGAGAACGCTGCTTCTCACCAGGAGTTGGCTGAACAGCTGGAGAGAGTCAAACATCAACTCCAAGATAAATCTGTCGTCTGTGAAAACCTGGAAACAGGTTTCACCAACGAACAGAAGCTCAGACTCCAGCTGTACCAGCAACTCCAGGAAACATCTGGCCTGTGTGAGAGCCTGGAAAACCAGCTTAGAGACGAGCAGAAGATCAGACTTGGTTTGGAGACTGAGCTCGCCCAAAACAGAGACGTGGTCAGTGCAGGTCATGATGATCTGATGACCAAACTAAAACAGATGGAGGAAAAAGAAATGAAACTCTGTAAAGTCGTCGTTACCCTCCAGTTAGATCTGTTTAGAAGCAAAAAGCAGCATGAGGAAGAGTTGGGAATCCTGAAGGAACAAGTCTCTGAACTCGAGTCACTGACTACAAATCTGGAAAGTCAAAATCTGATCTTGAGACTAAAGACTGAACGTTTTAATCCAGATCAGCAAACCGAAACGATCAGTGAGCAGAACGTGGACGCTGCAGAAGGAAACAAGAGTCTTCCTGCTGAAAACGACTCTTTAGCAGAAAGCCTCGAGTCCCAGAGAGATGCTCCACACTCAGACACAAAAAAACTGGAAAAAGTTTCTGTGTGGAGGCATTTCAAGAAATTTGTAACCCCGGGATGTCTCCGTCAGCACAAAAACAAACAACCTAGCAACTAACCTCCCTGCTAACAAACCAGAAAAGGCTAATTAGAAGACATCCCATCTCCTGGTGGCAGTGGGCAGCACTGTCCAGGATGAATCAGAGAAGTTAAACCAGCCACTGCCTCCCCAAAAACCCTGTTTAGATAAATAAACAAGACCCCCCCACCCCCACCCCCAAGATCACAGCCACATACAGCTGTCGCAACACATTCTCACTCCCAGCGTGTCAAAAACAAACGCTTGGTCAGCCGCCCTCCGCCTCAGACCCCTGACGCCAAAAGTGCCCTTTTTCGTTACTTATGTGCGAAAAGGGTTTTTTCCCTTTTCTAACTGCAGATCCCAATGCAGCGTAAAACTGACGTGATGGGATGTCCGCAGCCAGGGCAACAAACAAGCTCATTGTACCTCACCCTAACCTTATCCTCTTATTTAACCTTCCCCTCACCCCTATCCTAACCTTAACCATCTTGCTAGCTAACACGTTAGTGATGTGTCGGTCGCTCTAAAAGCCGGTTCTATGAAGTGAACGGCGGGAGCTGCCTCGTCATTGGTCGAGTTTGGACCGAGCCAACGCGAGGGGGAGGTTTCAACTACCACGGTGGAGGTTAAAAGTAGAGGGTATTTGTAACCTCCCCCTCGCCAGATGTTATGTTCTAACGTTCCCCTTGGGCGGCAAATACAAAAATTCACAGTCAGACTCTGACTGTCAGAGTCAGAATGCATGGGGAACAAACGCTTGATCACAGTGAGAGTAACGTTTTAGGTAGCAAGAGGGTTAAGGTTAGGATGAGGGTGAGGGGAAGGTTATAAATAGTGAAACGTTAAGGTTTAAGTGCGGTTAAATGAGCTGGTTCGGTGCCGCATCAGCGGACATCCCATCGGGTCAGTGTAACGCTGCACTGGGATCTGCAGTTAGAAAAGGGAAAAACCCCTATTTGCACATAAGTAATGAAAAAGGGCTCTTTTGGCGTCAGGGGTCTGACGTGGAGGGTGGCTGACCAAGCGTTTGTTTTTGGCGTGCTGGGAGTGAGAATGTGTTGGTTGTCGACTCATGACTGCCTGTTGGCCCCTTGTCATCTTCTTCCACATCAATGATGTGAGTGCATACAATGCATTCGTGATGTGGCGAGAGATAAACAAAGACTGGAATGGGGAGAAACTGAGCCAAAGGATGATTTTCCTGGAGCAGCTTGGTAATGCACTGGAGAAACCTCAGATTGAGAGAAGACCGTGCCTTCCAAGAGCATCAACAGCTGCTGTAGCTGTTGTGAGAGACATACAGACAGAAACAAACACCCAAATTCCTCCAGTGGCACAAACAGCAGGCAAGAAGCGTGGTAGGTGCCAGGTATGCCCCACCCTCAATGACTCTAAGACTAGCATGACCTGTTTGAAATGCAAGAAATGTGTCTGCAAGGAGCATGCACACACTCTCTACACATCCTGTGTACAGTAGTGCAAACTAAAAGTTTGACTGGGGATAGACACTGTTCCATGTTCTGCCTGATGTTGTCATTATGATTTTCTGTTTCAGAGATGGGTGAACTTTCAAACATGTAATCCCTCAACACACAAAAAACAAAAACAAAATATGAAAAGCAAAAAAAATGAAATAAAAAAAATCATAAACTAAAATAAAAGCAAAAAAACAAAAACAAAAAAAAAACTCTCTAACTCTGCCACTGCCGGTCCCAAGCCCGGATAAAAAAGAGGAGGGGAGAGTTTGACTTTCTAACTATGTGACAAGAAACAGATGAAAAGAAATAAATATGTTTACAAGAGGGAAAGGGGGGGCACCAACATCAGGGTCGCCAACATCAATCATTATGGTTCATTCTGTGAGAATCATGAATGTGCACCCTAAATTAGTAAAGATTTGGATGAAAGATTTGTAAGATACACTAACTCTAAAACTGAAAGTTTGACCTGACGGTAGCGCTGCAGGAAAGGTCATATCATCACCAAAACCCATTAAGGTTCATAATCTTGTGATCATTAATGTTAGAAAATATGAGAAGATTTGTATGAAAACTTTTCAAGATACATTTATTTTAACTTTGGTCTGATGATTTCAGTTTGGCCTGATGGTGGCGCTAGAGAACAGGTCAGCTTTCACTTTCAAGGGATTATTTATGTATTTTACATAAATACATATGTATTCAAATTTTACATAGAAAACCGTTAAGCGTAGTTTCTGGTCAGCAGAGGGATACAGAGTGCTGTCCAATGTGAAGCTGCTAAAGAGTTTGTGAAAAATCACTGAAACAAGTTTTAAAGCTAGCTAAAAGTGTTAACTCTTTAGCATTGCTTTAATAAACCTTTAAAGATTGGGCAATTTTATTTTGTTGTTTTGATTTTAGAAATTGTATTTCTCTTTTAAAGCTGTTACAGCAAATCTACAAACAAGCTTTGAGCACAAACACGGCCATGGCACACTCACCCCCTTCCCCCCACCCCCCCACCCCGGGTATCTTCCCTGAGACGCTTCTGCCAGAACTAGTAACCCACAACGCCAGAGGAAAAGAGATGGGGCTAAACACCCATCACCGTTTTCTAGGTCCAAATGTCTTTTGTTGTCCGTGACTTCAAATGGTGTTTTTTATAGGGACTCTAGTAGTTAGTCCTAAAGTAGAAGTGGTAGCAGCCGACTGTTTCTCCTTCTCTGATATTATTGAGCTGAGAAACTCACACCAGTGGCGTTCTGTTGATAAATACGTGAGTGTGTTTTGAATGCAGGTCCCTGGGAAGTGCAGTGGTTTTGACCAGATCCGGATGATCCCATAATTGCTTTAGGTCTGAAACGTGTTATTGGTAAAGGATTTTAGATAAACGCCAAAGAACCACTTTTGCGTTTGTTAGAAAACAGCAAGCCCTCTATGTCATTATGAAGCAGGATTATTGTAAATAAATGCACCCTTTTATTATTTTAGGTAAGGTTTCCTGAACAAATCACAATCCTCAGAGGAAATCACGAGAGTAGACAGATCACACAAGTGTACGACTTCTATGACGAGTGTCTAAGAAAATATGGAAATGCCAACGTCTGGAAGAACTTCACAGACCTGTTTGACTATCTGCCTCTCACTGCACTCGTAGATAACCAGGTACAGTTGTGTGTCGAGATCTGGAATGAATTCTTGCATCTCAGTGATTCTTGATTTATTTCTTCTCTGTTTTTGAAGATTTTCTGCCTCCATGGAGGGTTGTCTCCTTCAATAGACACGCTGGAACACATCAGAGCGCTGGATCGCCTGCAGGAGGTTCCACATGAGGTAAACACAGTTCATACACACCCAGATTCATTCAAACTCAGACCTCATAACAGCTCAAGAGATTGTTTGTTGGTGTGGTAGTCAAGCAGTGTGATTTGAATAATCTTTCATTAGGCCACTTAGATGACACTTTTATTTGTTTTTACTCTTGTCTTTTTCGTAAAATATGTTCCTAACTGTTTTTTCTAAATATATATTGTTGTCTGTCTTATCTCTTTTAACATTAACCTGCCAGAGGACTGCAGAGAGAAATTAGCCTAAGGCTACAATCAGGCATATTTACAGTTGTATTACTGTTCATAAATATGCATTGTCTTCTCTTTAAACAAAGTAAGTAAATTAAAAGGTCTGCTGGACATAATTACCCCAATAAATAACCGAAGTTTTAAATCCAACTCGTTTAGGGTCCAATGTGTGACTTGTTATGGTCAGACCCAGATGACCGCGGTGGTTGGGGAATCTCACCCTGTGGTGCCGGTTATACATTCAGACAGGACATTTCTGAGACTTTCAATCATGCAAATGGCTTAACTTTGGTTTCCAGAGCCCACCAGCTGGTGATGGAGGTACACTTTTATTCACTGAAGGGGTTTTCTAAAATGTTTCTGAGTCATTTAAACCATTATAAATTTGAGACGACGCAAAGGAATTTGACAGAGATGAATAAATTAGCTATTTTTAATTCTTATCTTGTAATAGAGATGAAAACAATATTACAGTTATGTGATGAAGTGGAGAGAAAAAGACACTTTCTAGACCTACTCAGGTTATAAAGAACACATAAAGCACAATTCAAAATACTCGTCTTTGTTTATCATTTCTTCCAGGGTAGTGCTCCCCCCTATCTAGCCACACTCCTGAAAAGACACTCCCCATCACGCGCTCTGCGCTCCTCTGACCAAGGCCTGCTCGCTGTCCCTCGGTCTAGGTGTCGTACCCGTGGGGACCGGGCTTTCTCAGTCCTAGCACCGTTACTCTGGAACCAGTTGCCACCCTCAGTTAGGCTGTCCCCTTCTCTGCCAGTCTTTAAGAATCACCTAAAAACACACCTCCTCCGCTTGGCGTTTCCAGAACATGTTTGATTTTGGCCCTCTATTATGTTGAATCCATTCCACAGTTTTCATTGGTACACTCAATCCATCCACTCAATCCAAATGTGTTTCACTCATTTGTCCTTTACCAGAATGGTTCATCTATCTTATAATTTCCATTTTGTATTTTGTAATTTGAATTTCTTTTTTTGTTGATTTTTTCACTATATTTGCTTGCAACTGAACCATGTTCAGCGCTTTGGGCTTCCTGACAGGGTTGCGGAAGGCGCTTTGTAAATAAAGCTTTGATTGATTGATTGATAAACAAGACCGAACTTATACTAAGTGTTTATGAATATTGATGCTCTGGCCCCAAAAGAAAAGAGATCATCAACTCTCAGATCAAACCCCAGCATCTGTCGTGATGCATTCGTGCACATCATGGGTGATTTGCTTCTTCATGAAGGAGAAAAGTGAGCTGAAGAATAAAGTATGTGCAGACTAATGCAGGCTGCCTTCCAGACAACATCTGGAGATGTTTTTCATGACGGTGTTCTGTGATATGGAGAAAAGCACAATAAACAAACGTGTTGTTAAAACCAGGGATCCTATGGCAGCACACCTCTGAATCTTCCTGTTAAACTGCTGAAAACAAGTAGTTTATAATTAAAGAATAATAGAACAGATGAAACCTTAAACAATTTATTAAGTTAAGCTTTTATGTGGAACTGAATGGAAAAGTCCTACATACTTTGTAAGATCATTGGTTTCCTCAGTTTCTAAAGGTACATAATTTGTTACAATAGTGAATGATGCAACACACTTATTTTAACTTTAGTGGAAACAGGGTCATTGCTCTTACATACGTACCTAATCTCCTGGTCTAGGGATATAACTGGTGTCATGATCGCAATGTAGTGACAATCTTCAGTGCACCGAACGATTGTTATCGTTGTGGAAACCAGGCAGCCATCATGGAACTGGATGACACATTGAAATACTCCTTGTAAGTAAAGTTTAGAAGAGGTCTGCAGAAATCTGAAAACATTAATAAATAATATTAATAAAGATGATAGTCAATTTTTTTAACTTATTTTTTTGTAGCTTACAGTTTGACCCAGCACCACGCAGAGGAGAGCCCCACGTGACGAGACGTACGCCAGACTACTTCCTGTAAGGGACGATGGCGGGAATGGAAGCAAGCTGCACAAGAGATGGGGACAATCAGTCTTAAGCAAAGTGTTTGCCATATTTAGAATGAAATCCAGACTTTCATATCTATCTAAACACCACTAATGCTCCCAATTCTTTAGCAAACTGTGCATGTTTTAACTGCAAAGAATAACTGTCACTTTAAACAGTACTGTTACAACACCTGCTGGTTTGTCAAGACATACTTATTCATCTTAAGGTTTTTAAAGACCTTAATAATGAACAAAGTGTTTGTTCATAAAAATCTTATAAGATACATCTTTCATTGGGCATGACCTCAAATGAAAAAGTTAAACTATGTATTGGGAATTATTTATTGTAATAATAATAAATGTAGCGACATGAATGGCCTCATTTGTGACCCAAAGGTCACACTTCCCCAGCTAGGTCAAGCTGTACTTTGTCCACAGATTATCCATCACAGGAGACGTAAAGTCTGCTAAAATCATCTTTAATCTGACTGCCGTTTATCTGTCTGCTTTTCCAGCCCAAGATGAAGGACACTTCAAGATTTAAAATAATCATTTTTAATAAACTCTTTTCACTGTTTATTACAAGGTTCAGAAATAATCGTCATAAATAATCATCATGGTTCATTATAAATGTATTTAATTACTGAAATGAATTATTATTCTTTGGTTAATAATTATTATTTTTTATGATAATCAGTAATGTTTGATCAGTAACCAGAAGGTCATGTTCATGTGTACACACCATGCAGGACACTGAATTCAGGTTAAAGGTAACTGCACCTCACACACGTCTTTGCTCCATAACCAAAGCTTTCTATCTCTGAGACGGCGTGTCCTGAGTTTTAATAAAACCAAAAACTCCTCAGTTCAACTTCAGTTCTGAACCAACCAAATTCTCTCCCTGGCACGAGAGTCCCAGATGACAAGGGTCGGCCGCCCGAAGCCTCACTAAGCTGTTCTGTCGCGCCAATAGGATCGCTCCGAATAAACGCCACCTGCACCAGCTGACGCAAACTCCTTCAGAGTTATTGATTTTTTTTTAGACGCAACCAGTTTCATCAGTCGTTGTGACCCGGAGACATCTCAGGACTGATTTGGTTGCACCAAGGTCCTTCTACCAACCTCGTGCTTGGGGATACATCATCTCCACCTGACATCTCGGATCCATCGGGGCCTCCTGAGTGGGTGAGGTAGACACTTGCGACAGATGGCGTCTGCATGCTGTTCTCTCTAAGAAACAACTTGGTTAGCTGCAAAACAACTCTCACCCAGATCGCGTTTCTCTCTCTGATAGGAACCTTCTGAGATTCCCTTCATGCTTCCAAACACATGCATTCCATTTTAGTTTTCACCCAGACACAGGCTGCTTTTAATACCAAGTTTTAATATCAAAGCTGTGATAAATTGTCATTTTTACATTGTCATCTTTAAATTGTTAGTAATAAATTCTTAACTTTTAAACCTGACTCTTCTTTAAAATGAAACACAGAATGGTGTATATTTGGTTATTGAATAAGCAAGGATTCCATTAAGTCTTCTGTTTAATAAATAAACTTTTGCTATTAATTAAATTATTAAATTAAATATTAATCTTTGGATTAAATATAGACCAAGACAGTTGGTGTATGAACTTCTATCGAATGTATAAATATCCTGGATATTTATACATGATACAAGCTTCATATGCTAATTTGTTGATCTTTCTCAGGATCTAACGAAGCTGAAAGCAAACAGCGTTAAATCCTAGTATGTAGATTGTCAACGCTACATAAAAAAGTTTTGTTTTGTGAAGCTATGTAATAAGACTTAAGTCACAAGTGACTTTTTTCTCTGCTTTTGTATTTAATTTTGATCATATGATTGGTATACATTTTATATGGTATTATTCAAGGTATATTTTATTGTGTTGGTTCCCATAAGAATTAATGCAATTTACTTAAATTTATAATTATGGTATAAATTATCTAAATGTGTAAAAAAAAGTAATGTTTTGCTGTCTTTGCTATTCAAAATAAAGACTAAAGTTTCTTTGAGAAATTTGATTTTGACATAAATCAGTAGTTCTCCAACGTCACCGCTAGATGGAGACAAACGCCGAAATGTTCCGAAAATCAATTCTGACGAAATAATCCGCATAATGACGACCAGCCAATTCAGGATAATCAAATATCAGTTGTTCAGTTGAATTTTTGATATCATTAGATTTGGACATAGAAACCAATCTCTTGTGTTTTATTTACTTGTTTCTATTTTATCAACCCTTTTTAAGATCGTATTTGCTTTTTTGATAATGTGCTAGTTTCGCTTGGCTTGTCGCGGTTTTCAGACATACATTTGCATGTAAGAACATTTTATTTACTGGAAAAATAATTTCGCAGTAATGTTGGGAGCTCCGACGGATGTAGTACCCAGCTCGTCCTTGAAAATAAAAGCACGATATAATTTTTTTAAATTAAATTAAAAACCCTTCCTCGTCTTAGCTTATGGCCAGTAGTTTACAATACCATGTAGAACATTTCAACGCTAACATGGGTTTTCAGGATCAGTTTTGTCGATATAACATGTTGCATTCTGTTTTGCTGACTTATATTTTGGTGGGAAACTTCCGGTAGCTTAAGGTCGTGACTCGTGGCTGTGGGAACTTTAGCGCGTGCTGACGTTAGTGCAGGGGAAATTAGCTGGCTGCAGCCTGTTGGGGACAGCTCTCACTCACAGACTCCAGGCGCTCTGGTTGCAGTAAGTAGACCTGTTCCGTTATCGTTCACAGTTCCACCGGGAGGACGCGGGGTGTCTCGGGTCTGGCTGGCGGACAGAAGCCGGGCGGTTCGGCTCCTCCGGGCTGGAGAATCCTGCTGATACTAGTTGAATCTGGAGGCGCTCGCAGCTGGAACCGACAGTACAGATGTCGCGCCTTATTAGCTCACCAACATCATTCGCTTTGTACGGATTTGAAACGCTTTCCTCTTTTATACGTTGGAACCTCTGTAGGTCCAGATTTGACTGGTCCACGTCGGGTTGGACAATGAAGCGATGATATCAGAGCTCCTCATGTTCTCCCTGCGTTCAGAGAGACAGCTGTGATGTGCAGCTTCTCCAGCCAGTCTCATTGGATATTCGGGTTAAAACGTCTCTAAACACGCGTTTGGATAATGTGTTTTATTTGTAAAATGTTATCGTAAATAACAGTTTAATTTATGGCCACACAAGCTGCTCTTTGATTGGCTGAGAGTGAAGGCAAAGCAGCAGATCAAAGGCCGAAGCTGTCCAAAGTTCAAACATCTCATCTCACAGTTTTTTATTATTATCTTCATGTTAATATTAAAACGGACTTTAAGACCAATGACCTATCATTCATGTCCTCTCATGAGAAACCTATTGAGCTTAATTTAATTTAAAGAAGCAGCATGACTTCAATGAAGCCACATGAGAGATTCTGAATGTCATTCATAGACCGTTCCTTTGCAGTATTCATGTTTCTATAGCTGATCTAAAAACAAGATCTGACGTCCATGTTCAGATGGATGTTGATAGAAATAACACTAATATTTATTTATAGAGGGTAGATGTCTTCAATGCTTTCCACACAGTTTTTCAGACACAGTTTGAGATGTGAGTGTGGCAACTCTTTTGCCATGTCAGGCCATCGCCATAGCAACATAACGCTGAATGGCTAAAGAAAGAAGCAGTGTCCTCCTTTCTTGCTTTGTCTATACTGGATTTCTTCTCTTTAAAGTTTGCTTTGTTGTGTCTTTAAAATGTTCCTTCCACGTGTTCTAGCACACTCACACGTTGCACCTTTCCTCCCCAGACAAACATGGTGGCAGAGCTTTCAACTTCCATAAACATCAAGGAGCCTCGATGGGATCAGAGCACATTTGTGGGTCGAGCCAAACACTTCTTCACTGTCACAGATCCCAGGAACGTCCTGCTGACCAACGAGCAGCTCGCACATGCTCACAAAGTCATCACAGACTACAGGTAAGACATCCGTCCATGACAGGGCAGGATTCAAACAGCAGGAGAGCTCTGCTTATTACACGTGTTTCCTGCTCTGCAGGAAAGGAATCGTCTCCCCAGGTCTGACGGAAGATGAGCTGTGGAGAGCCAAATACGTTTTTGACTCCGCGTTTCATCCCGACACCGGAGAGAAGATGATCCTAATTGGACGCATGTCGGCACAAGTTCCCATGAACATGACGATCACTGGATGCATGATGACGTTTTACAAGTATGCTCTGACCTCCGCGGTGCTTCAGATTTAGGGTTCTCCGGCTCTTTTTATAGTTTTTGAGGAATGTTCCTGATAGTTTCTGTCTGTTGCAGGACGACTCCAGCTGTGTTGTTCTGGCAGTGGATCAACCAGTCTTTCAACGCAATAGTCAACTACACCAACAGGAGTGGCGATGCACCCATCACAGTGAGGTGGGTGATGGACTCTGGACCTCTGGCTCTATTAACCCTTTAATCCTGCAGGCCCAGTGTGTCTGATTTGTTGGGGGACTTCTTTGTTTGCAGTCAGCTTGGCACAGCTTATGTGTCTGCCACCACGGGGGCAGTTGTCACCGCTCTAGGACTAAACGCACTAACAAAGGTACATCTAATGGCATCCTGCAGCTCTTTTTAACGACTGCTGACAAACTGGTTAGGGTTAGTAATTGGCATGTTTTCTGGCTTGCTGTTAAAATAAATAACCTTCAGACTTCTGCTGATTAAAAAAGTTATTTTTATTTTAGAGGTGAATAAACTGAATTGTTTCTTCCTGTTGTAGCACGTTTCCCCTCTGATTGGACGGTTTGTTCCGTTTGCTGCTGTTGCTGCTGCTAATTGTATCAACATCCCACTGATGAGACAAAGGTATGAAAACACACACACACACACACAATACCTTTGACTCTGTGCCTAATTCGCAATGATGATGAAGATAAGAAAGATTTTAAGCTCCGGTAATTCTAAATATTTTCAATTTATAGCAAAATACCCTGATTTAAAGTTTTTAAATGTGCATTCTGTTGTGAAAACGAATAAACGTTCAGAAATAAATAAAAAAGAAAACAAAGAAAACAGATAATATAAATAGCTATTTACTAAACCAAAAACTCTGACCTTGTGTCCTTTTTATTGAAATCCAACTAAAAGATTAGTATTTCATTAGCATTTAGCCTTTTTTATTCAAATTTGATCTAAACTGTCTGCTGTAGCATCATTTATTGAACCAAGCAACCTGAAACATCATACTCCCTCCACTCTGTTTCACAGAAACTCAGTGTTTTCTTCCTGAAACCTGTTTCATACAAATGTATAACACAGACCAGCCATTGGTCACTGTTCCAAAGGTGATACGCTGCATCAGAATATATGTCATTTATGCCTAAAGCCTGATTTGTGCTTCTCCGTCTGCGTCTGTGCGGAGACACGCAACGCCATTATCCGTCCTTGCGTAGGGCTCCGGCAGGCACGCAAGTACGTACGGAGTCGAGCCCCCTTTTTTAAACATCCGTCGAACGAGGCGGATTACGCAAGCTTGTGATTGGTCAGGACGCCGCTGTTGTTTACAGCGCCGCCATTGCAAAGAGAGCCGAGGATAACTAGCGACAGACACGGAGAAGCTTGAAGAATACCTCACGAAAAAACTCTAAAAATGTGAACGTTTAGTTCCCTCGTGACTGGAGGAGTGAAAAGATGCGCAGCAAGTGTTTTATTTGTGGACGGAAATGACAGGAAACGTGGGTTTAGAGGTGGGGAGCGCATGAAGCGGTGGGAGAATGAGAGACAAATATGTCCGTGTTAAAAGTCTCTTATATACACAAAAAACACAATATAAACACACTATCTTGGACCGATACATGACAGGATACCACAGAACAGCGCTACGCCCTCTGTGGTCCTGCCGGGCAATTGCTTTGCAACTCTCTCCAGGAGACGGAGAAGTATGAGAGCAAAACGCTTCCGTCAATCCGTGCGTGTCTGTCCCTTGCGGAGCTGACGGAGAAGCATAAACCAGGCTTAACACACAGTGCCATTCATTCCAGATGGTTTTCTAGAGCAGTGTTTCCCAACCCTGGTCCTCAGGGACCACTGTCCTACAAGTTTTCCATGTCTCTGCTTCAGCACACCTGATTTACATTGGCTCCTCAGGAGGACATCAACTGCTGCAGTTACCGGTTAATCACTCATTCAAGTCAGGTGTGTGGCAGCAGAGACACACTGGTGTTTGAAAGGGCAACATGGAAAACATGCAGGACGGTGGTCCCTGATCCAAAACACATGCAGATTGGTTGGGTGAACTCCCAACCAATCCTCCAGGACCCCCCTGTGGTTATAGAGCTGGCCCAGTGTTCCACGACAAGGACAAAAACCACATTGTTCCTCCTGAGTTTGAGGTTCAACGATCCGTTGGACCCTCCTCTCCGGAACCCCTGAATAGACCTTAACAGGGAGGCTCAGGAGTGGGATCTCCCTGTAGATGGAACACATCCTGCGGCCCTCCTTTTCAAATTGGGGAACCACCACCATATTTGTCAATCCAGTGAAACTGCTCCCGATGTCCACACGATATTGCAGAGCTGTGTCAGCCAACACAACCCTACGACATCCAGAGCTTTAAGGAACTCTGGGCAGATCTCATCCACCCCAAAGCCTTGCCACCAAGGAGCGTTTTGACCACCTCAGTGACCTCAGCCCCAGAGACAGGAGAGTCCAACAGAAAGTCCCCAAACCCTGCTTCCTCAATAGAAGACGTGCTGGTGGGAATGAGGAGGTCTTCGAAGTACTCCTTCCACCGATCCATAAAGTGCCGTGTCGAGGTCAGCAGCATGTCATCCCCTCTATAAACAGTGTTGGTAGCGCACTGCTTTCCACTCCTGAGGCACCGAATGGTGGACCAGAATCTCCTCGTAGCTGTATGGAAGTCTTGCTCCATGGTCTCACCAAACTCCTCCCATGCCCGGATTTTTGCCTTTGTGACCACCCATGCCACATTTTGCTTGGCCTGCTTGTGCCCATCAGCTGCCTTTGGAGTTCTACAGGACAAAGACCCGATAGGACTCTTTTTTTTCAGCTTGATGGCATCCCTAACTGTTGGTTTCCACCAGCGGATTTGGGGATTGCCACCACGACAAGCACCGATGACCCTGCGGCCACAGCTCTGGTCGATCGTCTCTACAACGGAATCACAGAACAGGGCCTACTTGGACTCAATGTCCCCCGTCTTCCTCAGAACGTTTTGGAAGTTCTGTCGGAGGTGGGAATTAAAACTTCTTCTGATGGGAGACTCTGCCAGACGTTCCCAGCAGACCCTCACAATACGTTTGGGCCTGCTAGGTCTGACCAGCCTCCTCCCCCACCATTGAAGCCAACTCGCCACCCGGTAGTGGTCAGTTGACAGCTCCGCCCCTCTCTTCACCTGAGTGTCCAAGACATGCGGCTGCAGATTAAAGGGGACATCTTATGCAAAACTCACCTTTTGCATTGTTTGTACTGCTATCTGGGTCTCTACTGCCTCCATAAACTCTCCAAACTTGAAAAAAATAAATCAGTTATTTTCAATGTTTGGTTTAGGAATTATGTGCCTAAAATAAGCAGTTTCAAAAAGTCCCCGTTTGTGATGTCACAATCAGGTAAACTAGAATAAATCCACTTCTCGCACATAAAAGAGAGCTACTGCTGGAAGAGAAGAGGCTCTGCTACAAGTGGATATTGGATTTTCTAATGCTTATAGCAGCCTGAGTGGGGGATGGGTGAGCGTGGCTGATAGCAGCTTGTTTTCTTAAAGTAACAGAGCCCTGAAACGGCTCATTCTGGAAGGTACTGAAACAGTTAGGAGTAAAACTCCTTAGATTGCTTTATGTGAGAGGGATCTATAGCAAAAAACCTCATTAACGTGTTTGTGTCGACCATATAACTGTTATAACTTAGGAAGTTATGTATCCTTTAAAACAATTTTTTTCTTCTGGTGGTCAGAGAGCTTCAACATGGCATCCCTGTCACAGATGAGAATGACAACAGGCTAGGAGAGTCGACGAAAGCTGCACAGCAGGCCATCTCTCAGGTCGTTGTCTCCAGGATCCTCATGGCCTCTCCAGGAATGGGTACTGAATACAGAAAATAACCAGCTTTGTGTTTTTTAGTTGTTTGACTTGCATTCATAAAATGAAATTTAAAATTTTCCAGCTATCCCTCCATTTTTAATGAATCATCTGGAAAAGAAGGCTTTTCTGAAGGTGGGTGTGTTTCTAAATCAGCTAACTCCTTCATGACTCCATGATGGGTTTGAAACTCACTGTGGGAAGCAGAATGTTAGACTAGGGAGCAGCACTGAGACCGGTCTGGTCCGGGAGTTCACCGCTGCCTTTGTGTGCCTCATTCCCTTTCCTGCCTGTCCTTTTCAGCGCTTCCCATGGATGAGTGCACCTATTCAAGTCAGCCTGGTGGGATTCTGGTGAGTGGTCCGAGATGGTCCACCTGATAAGCCTTCGTCAGCGAGTCCTCTTAGAGTTCAGCCTGGATTCTCACAACTGATATTTTATTTCACAAATGATCGATGGTGTCTTGATCTTTGATGTGTTTCTGCTCTGTAGCCTGGTGTTTGCCACTCCTCTGTGCTGTGCATTGTTCCCTCAGAAAAGGTGAGTCAGATTTCTAAACCGGATCTAGCGGTTGTAATCAGAACCCAGTACTGACCCGTTAACCGGTCCCGTTCTTTTCCTCTCCACCTGATCCAGCTCCATGTCAGTCAGCCGCTTGGAGCCGGAGCTGCAGGAGAAAATCCGGGCGAGCCACCCGGGTGTGGAGAGAGTCTTTTTCAACAAAGGGCTATGAACGTTCAGCCCCCCTTCCATCTTTAACACTGCCATGACCTATCTGCCGGCTCGGCCCTCACCTCCCTGCCTGCTCTCATTCAGTGTGCCAAAGTTAAGTTTGTGTTTCATTCCCACCATTCAGACACACACCAGAGGTTAAAACTGGTTCAGATGTTTAGTTTGTATTGGAACTTGAGAGAAAATTTTGTCCGACCTGATTGGTTGAAAAGCTCCTCACGACGGCTGTATCACGGCCTTTGTCGGACTGTAACTTGATCATATTTTGCCATTAATCCATTTTCACATCTTCCTACAGACAGTTTTATCCTTCAAACTAAGAATATGTCACTGTTCAATGACTCAGCACTTCTAACACTCAGACGTTTTTAATTGTTTCAAATAATAATTTAACTAGACAGGAGTTAATTTTGCCAAACAAGTTTCTCTAAAAAAGCCTGCTGACATCAAATCAGAAGAAACACATCTCAAGGGAGGGACCTGCGCTGTAAACGTGGTGGTGGCTGCCACCGATGGGCCAACATCGTGCTATTCTTAACAATAGTATTATTTATTCTGCATGGCAGACACGCACGAACAAACCACTCCTCGTGAGCATCGTGGGTTTAACCTCGGGCTCTCCTGAAGACTACCCAGTTTTTATATTTACTGGTACTTGTTTCAATAATACAAATCTGTGAGTAATGCTGCACACAAAGTGGTTCAATTTGATCGTTTATATGTGGAGTGGCAGATGTTTTTAAGGCAAAATGTCCAGATTCCTCATATAAGTAGTTGTTATTGGAAGGATGCAAACAGGTGGATCTACATAGCCTGGCCTGCCAGACTCCTCCTCTGTTTAATTCTGCACAGAGAAAGGGGCCGTGTTCGAGTTGAGCTGTGCCTCGCCTGGAAAACAGACAAGAGCAGACGGACGCAGCAGGGGGAGTGGCTGAAAGACGGCGTTTAAGTCTGACAGATTTTTTGTACATGTGTAGCTCGCGGGTGACGATGGATGAAGATACCGTGTTAGTGTTCATACTTGTTTAATTATATATTTATATTCTGGTGCCTGTTAGCAACCGAACCACATCCTCACGTGCTTGTGGATATCATATATTGTATATGGAGACATGACTGTAATGATAAGTAAAGGTTATCAGCTGTAGGCTTAGTGTGCTCATAGGAAATGGGACAAAATAACACAAATCACATTTCTCTTTATGGCCTATATAGTTATTGTGGCAGTGTGAGCGTCCTGTCACAGTGTCCCGATTGATCATGCGCCCTGGCTACTTGGCCAAGGGGATGTCCCTTTGGCTGACTGGTAAGCATGCGTGACTCTCACCCGGGAGTCTGGGGATTGAATCCCGCCTGGGCCCTCGTTTCTACACCTTGCCGCATTATCATCAACGTATGATTTACAGATTACATGTGACCAACTAACATTTCATGTTCTACCACCGGATGTTCGGATCAAAATGTGAACCAATCAGATCTTGGATCAGGTGAGAGCCAGGCGTTTTTCGTCATGCTCTAGATTTTGGAGCCGGTGGAGGGCAACTGCAGCGCCTTGCTCCAGAATCTGCGGCCGCCTTGATCTCACGAGGTTATCGTCGCCTACGTAGGCATGACGTCAGAGCAAGTCGGACACAAATCTAACCGGCATGCACTGCGCGCCGATCACCGGTGATCTAATCTGCGCAGAACTGGCTCATCTCGAACACGGCCAGGGTCTGGGAATATTCAAGTAACCCCACCCCGTGAGAATTCTAACCGAGCCAATCGGCGCTGAGTAGCGTACGTCACACACCATAATGCCGAGTTTGACATGAACATGGCGACTGAAGCGGAGTTAACTGCGGCTCTTTCCTCTGGTCTAAATGACTTGGTCTTTAAAACAACAAGTAGAAGCGCTAAAAGCCTTTCTTCTAAAGAAAGATGTTTGCGCTGTCGCCAGTCTCCATTTTTGACTACAGCTAAAAAACTACAGGCATAGCGGACGTCACACACAGCGACACTCAGTTTCTCATAAACAACGAAGACAGCGGCAGAGTTCCTTGCGGCTCTTTCCTCTGTTCTAAATGACTTGAATGTCTTTAAAACCACAACAAGTAGAAGCACTAAAAGCCTTTCTTCTAAAAAAAAAAAAAAAGATGTTTGCGCCATTGCCAGACGCCATTTTTTTTAAACTATAGCTAAAAAACTACAACGTCGCGCGGTACAGTCGGCATTTCCGTCTTTTTTCTGATTGGTTCTTTTTGAGCTGCTTAGTCCCGCCCCTCAAGTGCCTCTCTGCCTGTGAGTTACCAGACTCTCTCTGTGCAGGATTAAACAGAGGACGGGTCTGGCCGGCCAGGCTATGATCTACAGTCATGGTGGAAGAAACCCATTTTAATATTTTACAAAATGGATTAAAACTTTTAAATGGTTTAAAAATACAAATGTAACCTCAAGTGTTATGATGACACAACAAATTCCACCAATCCTTCATTTAGTAAACCAAAACAGACCAAATGTAAAACTTGTGTGAAAAATCAAGTTCATCGTTGTTGCTTCCGTAATATCCTAAAGGGAAGGTATCAATCAGACGCTGCTGATCAAGTACGTGTTGATTAATTCATCTTCAGTCAGTGTGACTGCCTCTTTAAAAGCAGCAGTTTTCCCTAGTCTGGAGCACATAGGTGTGTGTTAACACGGTGCTGAAGCAGAAGGGTGTTCTCCCTTCTACAGAGAGAAAGATTATTCTCAGTAGAAAACATTAAATGTGTGGAACACTGAAAAACATTTTTTTTATGATTTATTTCTGATTATAATCCATCGTTTTTCATGCAGCCTGGTCTTCTACACCCATCTCCTGCATTAACTTCTGATAGAAAATAGACGGTGATTCTCTAGGATTAGAAAAACCTGACAGATCTACGTCACACTGTCACTTAACATTCATGGACTCGCCCATCTTGACTGATGATGGGGAAGGCTCTTGTTGGTTTAGCATCCAGGAAACAGCATAGAGCGTCTCAACTAGTAGAAGCTAACCATTAGCAACTCCACAACACAGCAGAACTCCTCCAGACTTGTGTTATTTGTGGAGATAAAACATCAACATTGCAGAGCAAACAGAGTTGTGTTACTGCCATCCAGTACGAGTCGGGATGTCCAAATATCAGTAAATATCAATCCAAACCCTTCTGCTCCAGCTCACTTGTACTTCCTGATTCAGGCGCATCTGAGATTTATTTATTTCCACTAGAGACTACTGCTAATGTGTTGATTAAACAAGTGTTTAACACCTTGAGTCTACCCTGGAGAGGATGTTCCATTAAGGTCAGATTGTGGGATTTTAAGAGAAGCTGTGAAAAACTCAAGAGCAACATGTTAGACTCAGTTTGCAGGCTTATGGCTCGTACTAGCACGGCAGTGGAGAGCTGACGGTTTGGGCTCAGGTATTCTTCAGTAAGGGGGACCAAACCGGGTCATAAAACAGGATCATGGTCTCAAACAGCAGCAAATCCACAACTGAAGGGTGGAAAAATCGAAATATCGATATGTTGTAATGGTCTGGTCAAAGTCCAGATCTCAGCTAGAGTGAAACGCTGTGGCAGGACCTTAGCAGAGCTCTACATATACAAAAGGAACAGGACTAAGTTTCGCTGCAGATTTCACACACCGCTTTTTCTTTTCGGCTGTTTTTGTTTAATCATTAACAAGATGGTGGAACTTGTGTTTTTAAAACGTGAGGATAATGTTAAACATTTTAGAATTGATTAAACAACCACATCATTTTATTATGTCCTGGTTAATCTGAAAGAGGGTATTCTTAAACCAGTCATAAAGTCGGCCCCTGATCTTCATAAATCCACCCTGGTGTTTGAACTTTTCAACGCGTTGGTGACACGTTTTTCAGCTGAGGAATGCTGAGAAGCTCCAAAGTCAACATGTGCAGCAGCGGCCATCTCCTGCTTTGTGTTTTGTCATATTTCTGAGCAACAGTTGCAGAGTTGCTATCGGAGCATAAACCTGTTGAGAAGATAAAGCTGCCAGATCTCATTATGGTTCTCATTTATCCAGCTGTGTTTGGACTCAATTGGTGGTGCAGGTTTCTGTTGTTGTTCTCAACTTTATTACTTCAATCCAGCAGTGTTTGTTGTTGTTCTGCTGGTGCATAAACCCGTCATTTCACATCAGAGTCCTGTGTGTCACGTAATGTTCGGCACGTTTAAATCAGGGAGGAGAATGACAACCTACTGGCATTATTTAAATAAACATTTTCAATCAGCATCATTCAAAATGTTTTAAAGTTGTGCAAGCTGCTGTAAAAAAACACCGTGTTCCAGATGCTCGTGAGCGTTTGTCCATTAAACATGCTGTTTAATTATTCTGTGATGTTTAACGTTGAAGAAGCTGTAAGCTCCTCCTGTATCTCGTTGTAAAAGTGACCCTCCTTTAGAGTGTTGGTGTTCCCAGGGAGATGTGCTGGTTCAGAGTGACTCTCTGGCTGTCCTTGTGTTCCAGGTGCTTGTAGCATTCTCCAGTTTCGGGTGTTCTTTTGGTGTTTCGGCGTAGAAAAGCACAGAAAAATGTTGCACATTTATAAACAACTTGTGTTTCCTGGCCCTGAACAGCAAGGGCAAGACGATTACTGTTTGGAAAAAACATTTCAGTTTTTTCTTTATCTTTGACTACATCTGTACCTCCTATCTGATAAATATCAAACTTCCTGGAAAAATCTTAATTTTAGCCTACAGGTACAAATGGATCAGGACTTCATAGCTTGCATTTATTAAGGGGATTACACAGTGACAGAAAAAAAACATGTATTTAAACATGTATTTAGTTGTTTTGCAGTATTCTGGGGTGATGTAATGTTGAAGATGAAATAAAGTTAATTTAATCTGCAGTTGGGTGTCTGATCAGCTCAACACTACCACCATGTGGTCACAGGGAGACACGACAGGTTTGTGTTAAAAAAAATTTTATTCAAAGGCACATGACGTTCAGAAGAACCATGACAGATAAACATGAACTGCACACAGATCCAAAGCCCTATCCATGTTTTTAATCAAAGCGGAGGCCTGACTGCACTCAGAAGGACGTGACGCTACAGGACACACACATTCAAAGTTAAGTAACTGTAGTGACTTCATGGCACTAATAAAATGTATAAAAACTAAGTAGGACAGGTAAATAATCTGTTTCTCATCTCTTTGTTTTTGTAAACTGATTAGCTTGTTTGGTCGGTCTATGGTGACTCCGCTGTGTTTAGTATGTTTCTTCAGGATACTTGAAGTGCTTTAACAAATAAAGATGACAGATCTGCATCACTATGAACATTATCACAGTTATTACAGTCTGTAACCACAAGCAGAGCATGGATGCTTTCAGTCGGGGCTTTTCAGAGCCAACAACACAAAAACGAGTCATCCATGTAACAACTCCTGCTTATTCTAACATTCACATGGACTAAAATGCAGAAACCAGACCTTCAGAAGGACCTTTGTTCACTCTGAGGGAACATGAGGGCCCAGGAAAGCCTCTGTACGCCACTATCTTTGGAATGTGTTGAACTTTGCCAACATAGCTTTTCACTTGGCACTTGGGTAACGAGGACTGTTCACCCCACAGGGTTTTATAACTTACTGCTTGTTACAAGACTGCTTGGACTCCGTTTTTATCTCCTTTGATACACATTTAAAATAAACATCCTCCACGTGAGAGAATACACAGAAAAACAATAGATAAATATTATAAACAGTCTGAAGTATACTTATACATCAGTTATATATTTAAATTCAGATAAAACTTTGTAGTGTTCACCAAGGTGTAAAAGGTCTTTGGACTGATGGTTGTGATTGTAAAGTTAAATACTTTCTGCTCAGCATAGACCAAATATTCCATGTAACCATTTTATCTAAAAATGTCCAGCCTTGAATACGTTCCTGTCTGTTTCTGCTGGCTGCTCCACGAACTCAGCAGATCTCCTCACACAGCGTCTCCTCCACCAGCAGAGAGTGTTTGTCGGGCTCGATGAGCACCAAGCTGTTAAGCGAGTGTTTGTCGGAGCGCAGGGAGTTGATGGAGGCCCGGCTGTAGTTAACAAAGCGATCCATCAAGCTGAGTTTGGACGAGGGACGGCGCACGTCTCCCATTCCGATGTGGACGCTGACATCAGACAAGCTGCCCTGTTGTCTGCTATTGCCGAATTTGGCCTCCAGCTTCTCAGCAGAAGGCTTAGTGTAACTACACCAAAGATGAAGACAATAAAACATTAAAAAGTGCACAGAGAACATTGATCGAGGTAAAAACATCACATTACCATTTGAGTAGAAGAGAGGACAAAACGACAGAGACGGACGAGAGCGCCATGGCTGCTGAGCCCATCCACGGCTGTAACACCAGACCAACAGGAAGGAACACACCTGGAGAAGAAAATAACAGAAGACTAATGAAAACAAAAGCTGTCCATGTGAGACGTTAAACTAATATATTGGTGGAGCCTACCGGCAGCAATGGGAATTCCAACCAGGTTGTAGATGAGAGCAAAGATGAAGTTGATCCTTATCCTATTCACAGTCTTTTTAGAGAGGTCGATACTGGCTACTACATCCAGCAAATCATTCTGCAGTCAGAGGAAAGGAGAAGTACTGACACACCAACTTCTGATGTTTAAGATCCATTTTAGGATGACGGGGAGAAACGGTAGTATTTACCCTGATCAACACCACATCTGCTGCCTCTATGGCCACATCTGTCCCGGTGCCTATGGCAATGCCGATGTCAGCCATGGCCAGAGCAGGTGAGTCGTTGACCCCATCCCCCACCATAGCCACTCTTTTTCCAGCCTGTTGCAGCTGCTCCACTTTAGCCAGCTTGTGGGAAGGCAGAACCTCAGCAAACACCTTCCTGATGCCCACCTGATGGACAATAATCCACAGATTAAATCATCACTAATAAAAACATTAAATCTGTGTTTACAAAAATGCTTGCAGGGGTGTTTTTTTTAAATCTATTTGCATAACCATCTGTCTATTTTCAACTGCTTATCCGGAGTCGGGTCGCGGGGGCAGTAGCCTAAGTCAAGAGGCCCAAACTTTCCTCTACCCAGCCACTTGGGTCAGCTCCTCCGGGGAAATCCTAAGGTGATCCCTGGCCAGCCAAGAGACATAGTCCCTCCACCGTGTTCTGGGTCTTCCTTTAGGTCTCCTCCCGGTTGGACGTGCCCGGGAAACCTCACCAGGGAACCATCCAGGAGGCATTCTGACCAGATGCCCGAGCCACCTCAACTGGCTCCTCTCAATGAGGAGGAGCAGCAGATCTACACCGAGCCCCTCCCGGATGACCAATCTTCTCACCCTATCTCTTAAGGGAGAGCCCAGCCACCCTGCAGAGAAAACTAATTTCAGCTGCTTGTATTCGCAATCTCCATCTTTGGGTCACTACCCAAAGCTCGTGACCATAGGTTGTTGGGGGGGGGATGTTGGAACGTAGATCGACCAGTAAATCGAGAGCTTTGCCTTTCAGCTCAGCTCTCTTGAACATGACAGACCGGTACAACGCCCACATCACTGCAGATGCAGCTCCAATCCGCCTTTCGATCTCACGCTCCAGCTTTCCCTCACATGTGAACAAGACCCCAAAATACTTAAACTCCTCCACTTGAGGCAGGACCTCATCCCTGACCCGGAGAAGGCATTCTACCCTTTTCTGATTCAAGACCATGGTCTCGGATTTAGAGGAGCTGATTCTCATCCCAGCTGCTTCACACTCGAGTGCGAACCGCTCCAGCGAGAGCTATTTGCATAACCATTTATCTCATTTATTTTTACCTGAGCCGCAATGGCCCGAGCAGTCTTGCTGTTGTCTCCGGTCATCAGAACAACCTCCAGCCCCATGCTCGTCAGTGTGTCGACTGCCAGCTTGGCCTCAGGTTTCACTGTGTCTGCTATGGCTATCATTGCACACAACTCGTCTTTGAACAGAAAAGAGTACAAGTGTGAGTTTTGGGACAAAATTACTTCCAAGTATAAAGCTATAATTAAACATGACTTACTGTCTACAGCTACTAGGATAGCGGTTCGCCCTCTACGCTCGTGCTCCATCATGGCTTCATCGATGTCTCGTCTGATCTGCAGGCCGTTTCTCCTCATCCACTCCCTGTTGCCGATCAGGACTACATACGCGGCTGTCTGAACTAAACCTGCACAAATAAATAAAAGGGTTTTAATTAGGGATGAGCGAGTACACCACTATCTGTATCTGTATCTGTTCAACCAACTAAATTATCTGTATCTGTATCTGCACTCGGAATGGGCGTGGCATAACCCGGAAGTGGGCGTGGTTTAACCGGAAGTGGACGTGGTTTACATCAATATATTATTTTAAGTCTGAAATTGATAAGGATTGATCAGAAGTTGCTATGTGTATTGCTTATTTGAAAACTATTTACAGAGCAGCCTCAGAATTGAGATTAAATATTTTTGATCACAATAGTAAAGAAACTATTACAGAACAAGTGTTTCAATAAAATCAGAACATTAATATTTGAGTAAATGGATTAATACATCTGAACTCATGCAGTAGGAACTAGGAAATATGAAATACTAGAACCAGACACAACTTTCTATATATTTTTTATTTTAATTTGATTAAACTGATTTTTTTCTTAACGTTCTTGGCATTTTCCCACACAAAGTTAAACAAAACAATGTTGATTAATGTGTGTGTGTGTGTGTGTGTGTGTGTGTCTGAGAGAGAGAGAGAGGGAGTTCAAAAAAATAAAAAAACCCGACCGGAGCGGAGGTAGTGACAGATGCAGCTCGTCAGCTCTGTCTTGTCAAATGCACCATGTAAGTTACGAAAAAAGTAACTTTATATATTCAACCGAAAGAAAGGCGAGCTGAAGAAAACTTAGGGAAAACTGAAGAAACGTGAGAAACAGTGAAGCAATCACAGTGAGATCTGTTACTGTCTGTGTGTGTGCGTGGATGAGCCGGACGGACTGCGCTCACGGCCGGCTAGAGTTTTGTAAGTAGGGAGGGGCGGGCGCTCTATGTGACTGGCCAATCACAGAGCGTGAAGACAGTCAGTTACCCAATGAGGATTTTCCTTCAGCACGATTACAGATATTGACTCGTTTTACTCGTGTCATGCTCGTATTCGTCAAAAATGCTTTATCCGTACCGGATACTCGTCTGAAACGAGTATCCGGCTCATCCCTAGTTTTAATGCAGCTCCCAAACACTGGTTTAGGTCTGAACTTGTTTACTTACTTAGAGGCTGCGGTTCCATGATGAGTGGATGGGAGCTAGAGGATGTCAGCGTGTCACTAATCTGCACGAGGACGCTGTTGCGCTGGTTGTTGTCCTCACTGTCCACCTGCTTCAGCAGCGCCTCCGTGTTGCTGACCCGACATCGGATGCCGCAGCCCGGCACCGACTGGAAGTCTGTGCATGTGCCGAGAGCTTCCGTGTTGAGCTCCTGCACACGTGCATTTAAAATCTACGCTCTTTAATCTGACTTGCAGATATTAATAAAAAAGAGATGAGTGCAGCAGACCTGTTTACAGTATCTGGTGATAGCAGCTCCTAGAGGGTGTTCACTGTTGTTTTCAGCCGTACCGACGATGGCCAGCAGGCGGGAGCGAGGCATGTCATTCCCCTCCACAACTATTTTGACTTGGACAACCTTTGGAGCTCCGTACGTGATCGTTCCCGTCTTGTCAAACACCACCGACTGGACCTGCACATGACACGAACAAACTCGATAAAACAAAACTAACTAGATGACAAACCTATTCCCAATGTGTTTAAACTGCCTGCTGGTTCGACGCCAGAGATTCATCACCAACCAACACACCTTATGTGCCATTTCTAGTGGCTCTCCTCCCTTTATCAGGATGCCATTTTGGGCTCCAATGCCTGTGCCCACCATGACAGCTGTCGGGGTTGCCAAGCCAAGGGAACAGGGACAAGCGATGCATAAGACAGTAATGGATGCTTGGAAGGCAAACCGAATCACTGCTTCAGCTTTGGAGATATTTTTATCGTAACTCTGCATGGAGGGAAAAGATCCGTAAGTGTCTCTTTTAACAAGCTGTTTCAGAGAGAGCAAAAGGTAAATATCCAGTCATTTCCTGCTATAGTGAAGAGCTCCCAACAGTAATAAATCAAGACTAAAACAGGAACTTACAGGAAAGATATTCTCCACCAGAGTGAAGTCTAAGAACCCAATGACGATCCAGGCGATCAGCGTGAGGACAGAAATACCAACGATAAAAGGTACGAAGTAGCCACTGATCTTGTCTGCATATTGTTGGATTGGAGCCTATAATGAAACAAGCAAACCATTAATAAACTGTCTCGCACTGCATGCTTGTGAATACAGAACAGATTCAAATCACCTTTGAAGTCTGAGCCTCTTCCACGAGCTTAACGATCTGAGACAGGGTGGTGTCCATCCCAACGTGAGTCGCACTGACGAGCAGGGAGCCGTTCTGGTTTATGGAGCCGGCGATCACAGAGCTGCCGGGCTTTTTTGTAACAGGCATGGCCTCGCCTGGAATCACAGAGCAGCAGCGAGTCAGAAAAACAAACAAGGTCAGGAAAAGGAACCAGGAGCAAACAGAAAACTCAAATAAAGTCCAAAAGGATGGTGAAGACGTAGAATGTTTTCAATCAAATGGTCACGAAAAGGTAAACAAAGAGACGATAACGTCAACACTAAATATTATTAAAGCAACAAGCCTGTGATCAGAGACTCGTCAGACATCGAATGTCCCTCAATGACTCTTCCATCGACTGGAAACTTCCCTCCAGGGACAACTTTCACCACGTCACCTCTCTGCACCAGCTCAACATCTACCTGCTCTTCACTGGAACACACACACACACACACACACACACACACACACACACAAGTGGCACAAGTTTAGACCTTTTTCACCCAGATTTCCAGTCTGAAGAAGGGTTGTGATCCTAGACAAAATAAAGACGATTCTTGTAACTGCAGAACACCAGAAGTACCTGAGAATAGAGTTATCATTGCCGAGAGTGACGACCGTGGCTTCAGTAGCTTGTAAAGACATCAGTTTGGACAAAGCTTCAGATGTTTTACTCTAAAAGGTGGTACCAAAAAAGAAGCAGAGCATTTATATTATGGATTTTAAATGAAAGTGTGACACAAATCTGATATCACTCCAATTTAAACCTTCGCGATCTGCTCCAGCCAACGCCCTAGGGAGATGAAGACAAAGAGCATCGGAGGTGTGTCGAAGAAAGTGATGGGGTTGATTTTTGCTCTCTCTGCCATGGCCACTATCAGAATAACCAGGGAGTAGCTGAAGGCTATGGTGGTGGCCAGAACGATTAGCACATCCATGTTGGCAGACTTGTGTTTCAGAGCTTTGTAGGCTTGAATGTAGAAGTATCGACCACCGATGACCTAAGAAGAAGAAAAACAAGTATATTTGATTAAAATCTCTCAACTCTACTAAAGTTTCTTATTTCCTGGGAGTGTGTGTGATCCCTGTGATTTACCTGGACAGGCACACAGAAAATAAAAGAGAGAAGGTTCATGATGGAGAGGCCTGGGTACAGTTGTCTCTCCAGGAACATGGAGGAGTGGTAGAGGTTACGGTCCTCTACCGTAGCGTTACGATGATGAGCAGCGTTCATCCGGTGGTCCATGATCATCATGTAGATCATCATGCCCATCACAGGAACGCAGAAAAACAAACTCACAAGGAAGGATTTCCTCCATCTGAACACACAACAAAGACAGACCACCATCCACTCTTGTGGCTTTCAGACCCTCAAGGGCTCAAAAAGTTGTTTTACTTGTTAAATGACAACATTTAAATATTGGAATAGCCAGGGGCAATTCTAGCTTTGGAGGTTGAGCACCCAAAGAGCTGCCCCTCCAGGCAAGATTAGTTTCACGGTGCCGTCAATCAACAACTGCCAAGGCAGATGGCTCACCTGATGGTGTGTCATTCATTACCTAACCCATCAGAACTCAGCCTAGGGTTTACTTATGCAGTATTTTAGGTTGTGTGTGTGTGCCTGGCAATTGGGTTGCGGGATGGGGGGTGCAACTGTCACAATTGTTTTCATATTTGTAGGGAAGGGATGGGAATATGGGATATACTGGGTCATTTGAATCAGTGAAGCACTTTGAGCTGCATTTTCTTTTGTATGAAAAGTGCTATACAAATAAAGTTTGATTGATAAAGTTTGACTTGTAAATAAAAGCTAAACACTCTTTTCCAATAATTAAAAAAAGTTTTTCAGAAATCACAAACAATGCTTTACGGATTCTGCTGTCACAACGATCTAGTCCAAGTTCAAAGGTCAGCGATCCCTAACTCCCTTTCCCAAGGGAAGCATATTTAATCGTTTTTCCCGCTTCAATAACACACCTGATTTCATTCAGCAGGTGATTAGCAGGCCTCTGCAGAGCTTGATGAGCTGCTTAACAGGTAAATCAAGTGTGTTGGATCAGAGAAACAACTAAAACATGCTGGATACCGACCCTCGGGGAAGGGCGTTGGGATACTGGTGGGACCAGTTCCTATGTGGCCCAGATGCAAAACAAATAGGCTTAAAGAAATAAATAAAAAGCTGAAATCAACTTTTTAAACTTTCACAAATCATGACCTATGTTTTAAAGACTCTCCCACTAGTGGGAAATCAGCTAGTCCAGATTGTTGTAGTTTTAGAATAAAGATGCTCAGGGTGTCATGATCCTGCCATGCCCTGACCTCCACGCACCATTATTCATCTCATCAGCCTTCATGCATCACACCTGTCCCCTCATCTAGCTCACGCCACACACCTGCCTCACCAGCTACATGTATTCCACAGTCAACCACCAGCACTCGGTCAGATTATTGAACGCTTCCGCTAGTAAATCTTCCAGCTTTTTCATCCTGCCTGCTCATAGCTTCCTGACCTCGTTTCCACGCCTGACCCCGTCAGGAACTCTGCCTGCCTCCACGACCCTCGCCTGTTCACCAGCTCCGTCTCCAGCCTCGTCCTCCATGGGTAACGCCACATCTTAGCTTTTCGCTAATGAAGATTTTTAAAGTGCTTTACTGTGCCTCGGGGTCCTTAAGGGTCTTCAAGTCCAGTCAATACACAGGGAGGATTACTCCTACAGAGTACCAGTAAAGATTTGGGATTTATTAGGCCCGAGCAGTGAAGCTGCGAAGGCCTATTGTATCTGCTCCGTTTATTATTAGGCCCGAGCAGTGAAGCTGCGAAGGCCTATTGTATCTGCTCCGTTTCTTATTATTATTACGCTTTCTTTCTTTTTTCTTCCGCGTCTTTGAATGGCCTTTAGGGGGTCTTAGCATATCCAAAAAGTCACCAAATTCTGGCTCAATATAGAAAGTGCGTGAAATTTACGTATTTCACTGGCGATGTGAAAGTTCGTAAAAAAGTGGCTGAACAGCGCCCCCTAGAAAGTGAAAAATACCCCTCTCCATAAAGCTTAGTTTATCGTACAGTGATGAAATTTGGTATACTTGTAGTACTCAACAGTCCGCAAAGAAAAGTCTCTTGCAACCCTGGTCAATATCAAACAGGAAGTCAGCCATTTTGGGTTGAAATGGCGATTTTTAATCATTTTGGCCATTTCTAGGGTCTACATTTGGTTGAACAGTTTGGTCATTTGTCGCACGATCGTCTCAAAAATAGTGTGCGATCGAACAGAAGCGATGGACGATTCAAATGAGACAATAAAATTGACTTTTCGTAAATACTGGAGGGGCGGGGCCAGGCCTCAAAGTTCGAGCACTCGCCAAGAAAATTCAAATTGCTATAATTTCATAAATGAAAGAATTACAGTTAAAGTAACAATCTATGGACAATCGACATCGCCCCCTGAAGAAAAATGAATGGTTGATTGATGATGTCACATAAGCCCCGCCCCCTCAGGACTTAAAAGGTCAAGTTTTACTGGGAAATTTTTCAAAATTCGCCCTTTCAAATAATCACCCCAAATTTGTAGCAGGTAACTGAAGACAAGTTGGGTTTGCTTGGCGTCACTTTATGGGAGTTTTCTGCAGAAGGCTGGGCTGTGGCGGCGCGGCGAAGTCAGGCGTACCGACGTGGCCATACGTTTGCCTCCCATTTCATCATTTCTAGAGATATCGCCACGAAACTTCTTGGGGGTGATCCTAGTCTGGCCCCCCCAAAAATGTGATGTGAACATCCGGTGGGCGTGGCCTATTTTCTGAAATAGCGCCCCCTAGGACCATTAAAACTGTCAGCCCCAAGCCATGCTTTGACTGAGGAGTACGAAATTTGGTGCACTAATGTGGTGTCTCAGGACCTACAAAAAAGTCTCTTGGAGCCAAGTGCAAAGTCGCACAGGAAGTCGGCCATTTTGGTCCAAGTACTCCATTTAGTGGTTTTCGCACACGTTGTTTGGAGAAGTATTCTCCATCACCCTTTTCAACAATCACCTTCAAACATCTGCTATACACTCTTAAGACATAGATGAAAAAATTCAACCGTCGGATTTTAAATAAGTATAAAGGTGTGGGCGTGGCTAAGCCTCAAACTTTGACCTGTCGCCACGCCACTCTTTTTTTCACAGCTCCCTATTGGACTCCTTTTAACCAATCACCAGCAATCACTGGCAAATAGCAGCAGACAAGTTGAGGTCACTTGGTCTATAGTACTGGCAGGTTTCGAATAAAGGCGGGGCTTTGGGAGCATGGCGAAATTCGCCATCACGCCATGGAAATACATTTGTCTCTCATTTCTTCAATCATTGTGACATCGCCTCACAATTTCTGATGAGTGATCTTACTCTGACCCCTAATAGAATTGGACAGCTGAAGTTTGTGGGCGTGGCCTATTTTCTGAAATAGCGCCCCCTAGGACCATTAAAACTATGAGCCCCAAGCAATGCTTTGACTGAGGATCACAAAGTTTGGCACACTAATGTAGTGTCTCAGGACCTACAAAAAAGTCTCTTGGAGCCAAGCACAATGTCGCACAGGAGGTCGGCCATTTTGGTCCAAGTACTCGATTTAGTGGTTTTCGCACACGTTATTAGGAGAATGATGTCTCGTCGTCCTTTCCACCGATCACCTTCGAACTCCTGCTATATACTCTTAAGACATAGAGGAAAAAATTCAACCGTCGGATTTTAAATAAGTATAAATGTGTGGGCGTGGCTAAGCCTCAAACTTTGACCAGTCGCCATTACGTTACTTGACTTAATAACTCCCATGTGCATGATCAGATCAATTTCAAACATTGTCTGTGTGATCACTGACCACATCTGAAGACAGTGACTATGTGGACAGCTGACATCACCTAAGCCCCGCCCCCTGACTACAGGAAGTCTACTGTTTTATGGTGAAATGCCCATATTTGTCCCCTCTAAATTAGTGAACATGACACTAAGGTCATGCACTGTCTTCATGATGTTGTAATGACCATTCAGATCTGATAGCTTTTCAGAAAGGGAGGGGCTTTGATGCCATGGCGATTTCTGGCGTGACGCTGTGACCTTACGTTTGACTGTAACTTCCACAAACAGCCTCCGATTTGCCCGAGACTGAACATCACATCACCAGTGTGGTACAGATAGAGTATCTCCTAGTGGTGAGACGTGTAATGCTGGGCTCAGAGGGCATGCTGAGTCAGGGTGAGGTGTGGACGAGGAGGCCGTTCAAGGTTTCTGGTGTCGGGGTGGTTGACTTTCTGTTCTGCCAGACGTGCCCTGGTGCCCACGGCTGCCGGCCAGGACGGAGCGGCGCGGAGCTGGGTTTGGAAAGTGTCGGGGATGGAGCGGAGGGGGTGCGGAAGGAGGGCGAGCAGCTTCGCTGCGAGGGCCGAACGACGCTGCTTGCAGCTTTAATTAGGCCCGAGCAGTGAAGCTGCGAAGGCCTATTGTATCTGCTCCGTTTATTATTTTTTTTCTTTTTTTTTTTCTTTCTTTTTTTTTCTTCCGCGTCTTTGGATGGCCTTTAGGGGGTCTTAGCATATCCAAAAACTCACCAAATTCTGGCCCAATATAGAAAGTGCGTGAAATTTACGTATTTCACTGGCAACGTGAAAGTTGGTAAAAAATTGTTTCAACAGCGCCCCCTGGAAAATTAAAAATACCCCTCCGCTTTGACCTTTTTTCATAGTAGAGTGATGAAATTTGGTACACTTGTAGAACTCAACAATATGCACAGAAAAGCCTCTTGCACCCATGGTCAATATCAAACAGGAAGTCGGCCATTTTGGACTAAAGTGGCCATTTTGACCCCATTTTGGCCATTTCTAGGGTCTATATTTGGTTGAACAGTTTGGTCATTTTTCGCACGATCGTCTCAAAAATAGTGTGCGATCGAACAGAAGCGATGGACGATTAAAATGAGACAATAAAATTGACTTTTCGTAAATACTGAAGGGGCGGGACCAGGCCTCAAAGTTCGAGCACTCGCCAAAAAAATTCAAATTGCTATAGATTCATAAATGAAAGAATTACAGTTAAAGAAATGTTCTAAGGACAATCGTCGTCGCCCTCCGAAGACAAATGAATGGTCGATTGATGATGTCACATAAGCCCCGCCCCCTCAGGACTTAAAAGGTCAAGATTTACTGGGAAATTTTCCAAAATTCGCCCTTTCCAATAATAACCCCAAATTTGTAGCGGGTAACTGAAGACAAGTTGGGGTTGCTTGGCGTCACTTTATGGGAGTTTTCTCCAGAAGGCGGGGCTGTGGCGGCGCGGCGAAGTCAGGCGTACCGCTT